CCCCCCGACGAAATCAGAAGTCCTGAAGGCAATCAAGATGCTAAAAGCTGGAAAAGCAGCAGGACCAGATGGAATCCCAGCAGAAGCATTGAAAATAGACCCAGAGACAACAGCGGACTTGATGGCGCCACTACTGGAGAAGGTGTGGAAAGAAGGCAAAGTACCCGAGGATTGGAAGAAAGGATACTTATTCAAACTACTAAAGAAAGGAGACTTAAGTCAATGCAAGAACTGGCGCGGAATTATGCTCCTGTCCATCCCAAGCAAAATACTAAGCCGCATCATCCTGGAGAGAATCAAACAAGCCCTGGATGAAAAACTTCGACCGGAACAGGCTGGATTCAGGAGAAACAAGTCATGTATTGATCAGATCGCCACATTACGGATCATCATTGAACAAAGCTCGGAATGGCAGTCACCTCTCTATCTCAACCTCATCGGCTTTGAAAAGGCATTCGTCAGCGTCGATCGAGAGGTGCTTTGGCAACTACTTCGCTACTATGGGGTGCCACCGACAATTATACATCTCATCCAGCAGCTGTACGACAATGCTGTATGCCAAGTAATCCACAACGGGAAACTTACGGAATCCTTCGAAGTGAGGACAGGAGTAAGACAAGCTGGCTGCCTACTATCGCCAATGATTTTCCTGATTGCAGTAGACTGGATAATGCGACAAACAGTGAGCAATGAGGAAACAGGCATAAAATGGACTCACACAAAAAACTTGGGGGATCTGGACTTCGCCGATGACGACATATATCTGATTTCCCACAAACTGGAAGACATGCCAGTGAAAAGCAACAAGTTGGCAGAAGAAGCATCAAAGATAGGACTGCAGGTGAACATAGAGAAAACAGAGGTAATGAAGATTTCTGGACATGAACAACAACAACAGACAACGATCAGCATAAATGGGAGGAACCTGAAAGAAACAACCTCTTTTACCTACCTGGGAAGCATCGTTTCAGCAGGTCTACTGCTACTTTCATTTATAATCTAGCATTTCAAAGATAGTCTTCCCGAATGTCTAACGTCGCTCTGAGAGCTATTTCTATAGCTATAGGTGTATTCTTCATATTCTTCGGGACATTGAAACTAGCCCCATTATTTTCTGATGAGTTATATCGTAGTGTGAGAAAAAGTTCCATTAGAATGTTTCAAACATTTCCGCTTAGTTCATTGACTGGATGGAATCTTAGTCCTCATGTAATTAGGCGAGTTTATGGAGCAATGGAAGTTGTCGGTGGTGTTGTACTTGCATCTTGTCCAGGTATCGCACAAGTTGTCAGCAATGTTGTACTGCTTGTCTTGATGTTACTCCACTTGTTTGGCGTTTTGTGTGCAGGAGATGGGTTAAGAGAAGCATCCAATGCTATTGTATTATGCTTGATGTTGACCTGCAGATTCATCATAAGAGCTCAAGTGAGTTTGGTTTTTCTGTGAAAATTATGCTTTCACAGTAATACTTTTCAAATTTGTATGTAAGTTGCGTATTTATTCAGTGCTCTCGGATTTGGAGGTGTGGTTTACTGGATAATGCATTTATGCGTCGGTGCCACAGCGGTTATGACTCTCGCCGATCATGCACATGGTCCGGGGTTCGATCCTCTGCCGACGCACACCTGATATCTATGGTCGGCCTGCAAAATTTGGGCTACCGATATCACATGCTGAAAATTCCATACCTGTACCAAAAAATACGGTGCGGAATCAACCTGTAATAAAAAATCAAAATCAAACTACAGGCGAACGGAACTGACGAGTATATCAAAGCAAGAATCGGAAAAGCAAGACAAGCTTTCACTACTCTCAAGTCTGTGTGGAGGTCAACAGCACTCAGCATGGAAATGAAAATAAGATCCGGATTTTCAACTCCAATGTGAAGTCAGTGCTACAATACGGATCAGAGACTTGGCCAGCGGGTCATAAAGAGCATCTCAAACAAACTACAGACCTTCATTAACAGTTGTCTTCGCTCAATACTCAAGATCAGATGGCTGGTCAGAAAAGATCAGCAACAGGGATCTCTGGGAGCGAACCAACACAGCAGGAACCGATTGTGAAACAAATAGGCAGGAAGAAATGGAGATGAATTGGCTGGCCATACTCTGAGGAAACCATCAAGTGACATCACTAGACAAGCCATTACTCGAGTGGAACCCGAAAGGGAAGCGGCGAGTTGGTCGTCAGTATAAGGGTGACTTGGAGGAGGTCATGTGAAGAGGAGATGAAAACGTGTGGACAGACTTGGAGCCAGGTGAAGACTCTAGCAGAGAACCGAACGCAATGGAGACGCACGGCTGAAGCCGTATGTTCCTCTAGGAATTGAAGGAAATAATAATAATAACAATAAAGAATATGATTGACAACTTTGAACTCTACAAGAGATACGTTGACGACACCTTCATCATCTCCAACAACGAAGAGAATTTAGAAGATATCTTCAACAACTGCCACCCTGCGATTCAGTTCACACTAGAGAAAGAGTCTAACTCAAAGATATCTTTTCTTGATGTTCAACTAACGAGACGCCAACAAGACGGAACATTAAAAAGATCCATCTACAGAAAGCCAACGTGGAACGGACAGCTCACTAACTTCCACAGTTGGGTGCCTCTATATACTAAACGAAACCTAATCCGTTCATTAAGCCACAGAATACGTAGAATTTGCAGCCTGGACGCCATAGAAGATGAAATGAACACTCTTAAGAAAATCCTCCTTGAAAATGGCTATCCAGAAAGATTTATCACAAAATCAATGAAACCCAAACCAGAGAAGCCGCCCACACTCAGTGCTCCAAAAAGACTTCTCTATATGAACCTACAGTTCAATGGAGACCAATCTACAGAAATACTGAGAAATCGGCTCTCCCGCTCATTGAAGAAAACCTTCTTTGCAGCTGAATTACGACTGACGTTCTCCACGAGACCAATGATTCGCATGAATGTGAAGGATAAGCTACTGCTGTTGGCCTCATCTATGTGCATCTACCAATTCACCTGCTCGTGTGGAGCCAGGTATATCGGCCGTACTCAGCGTTCGCTATCCAAACGCGTCAACGAACATTTACCTTCATGGTTTTATAAAGGAGAAAACTGATACCCCCGCAGCTCGATCCTTGAACATTTGATCGATTCAGGACACCAAGTCAAACCACAAATAAACTTCAAAGTTATCTACAGAATACAAGGCAATCTTGCTAAAAGTGTACGGATCAAACTTCTCCACATCGCAGAAGCAATGGCAATTCATCTGCTAAATCCTGAACTCTGCATACAAAAGAAATTCGTTCATTCATTAAATCTACAATGGACGTAATCTTTCTTAATTTCAGTCTTACTAATTGTATTATTTTGTCTTTTGCATTTTATTATTTCACATCTTCATTTGTATTATTCTCTACCCTACCCTTTTGTAATCTCTACCCTCATTAACAATGTTGCTAACTCGACCGACGTCCGATTTCTAGTCAACTATTACGCCATCCGATTAACTTACTTAATTTTCAATTTAACTGATTAGTCAAAGTTTCGAAATCGTTTTCACCTTCCTAGAGGTATGAACAGACAGATAGTGTCACTGTCATCTTTTCACTGAAAGCAGGATCTAATGAATTCTGCTTTATCCATGTGTGTTACTTGTTTAAATTCGTATCAGGAAATAAATCTTTCATTGATTTTATCCTTTAAAATTTTCATATGATTCGCCGTTATGCCGAATCACTTAGCCCAGTGATTGCATCTCAGATCGAATAAACTGAATCTACACAGTACTGTAAGACTGCACAACATGGAATCGGTATCTTTTCCTACTGGCCTGTCCTTTGAAGATGTTATTTATCAGTTAAGCACTCGATTTTCAACAACTGGGTTACTGGTTTAACCGCGTATTTTTTAAAGAAGAAGCTGCAGGAGCTAGTTAGTATCATGAGCTCCTATAAAATAAGTATGGTTTATTGCTAAGAGTATATGAATTTGAGTAGGAAACATTTATTCTTCCTTTCCTTATCTACAGAGGCTTACTTAAATCACTGAGCTACCATAGTCTGCACGCACTGAAATGCCTAAACTGCTTAGCAGTTCTTATTGTTTTAATCATGCAATGATATCATATGATCACTACATGAACTTGTGCACATATCTAATCACCTTTCAACGAAACACTGCGCAATTCTTAAAGGAAATGAAGGAAAAATGTACAGAACTGGTTCTCTCTTCATATGTATAACAACACTATGACATCACATGACATCCTTACTGTTATCCCCTTGGGTTCTGAGTGGGACACAGAACTTTAACAGCACACGTCTCCACCTTATTCTATTCTCTGTGGTCCTCTTTACCTGGGTCCACGATTGTCTAAAGTCTTTCATATCCTCCCGGCACGACCTCCTCTATATATCACACTCGAATGAACAGCCAACTCGTCGCTTTCCATTCGGGTTCCACTCAAGCTATGGCCTGGCGCGCGATGTCACCCAACGGTCTTCTCAGAGTATTCTCAATCCACTTCATCTTCTTCTGAATGTTTGTTGAGCGATCGGTTCTTGATTGGTTTTTTTCCAGAGTTTCTTGATGATATTTTTTTCTCGCCATTTGATCTTCAATATGTCATGTGATATAGTTCAGATTATTACTTTACATGTAAATCTTGGAACGCTGAAAATTGCCGTAGTATGTGTTCACATACAGTCTGAAATAAAGCCTTATTATTATTACTATTACATGGCCTACCATACACATATTTAAGCACTAATCTTGTACAAACATAGAAAAGGTAGGGGCATGTGGGGAAAAAACATAATGAACCCGTTAGCAATATAGGGGGATAAAGGAATGTTGACAGCGGGAAAAAACATTACTGCACAACTCCTCCCATAAATGGCTCCTTCTTCAACAATTCAAATGAAAAAACTCATAATCAAGACCATTGGTGTTAAGGATGGACGACGCATTTTCTTTTCAAAAAAACAAAAAACAACAAAGACGACTTACTTGACGATAAAGTCGAATAAGCGATCGTGCTGCAGCGACAACATTTTTATTTCGATATGATTTATACTGAATTAAATCTGACAATAAATCCTGTGTAACTGCATACGGACAACGAGCGCATATTTCACGGACTGAATTTAAGCCAACAGCTATTGCTTCGGATGAAGCACGTTCAGTAATAAAGTTATCCGCAATCACACGTACTAAGGGTTCTATCACCTAGGAAAGAGGAAAAACGGGTTCACTGGGGAAACAAGATATCAACAATGCCAGTAATATTTGTAATAAATTATATTTTGTAAAATCTCAGCGAGATTGAAATGAGTAATTCCAACGTTTCCTGCGTTCGGCAATCTGGTCCGAACTTCTTCAGGGAAATTAATCGAAATTAACATAACAGAGGTTTATGTATAAAAGGAACAACTCTTGTTTTTTAAACTTTGTCCAATCATGAGTCGTAAAACAAGTATCAACAAGTATAATAAACAAAATTTTATGAGCTGTGGTCAACTACTTTAGTTCATTTGAATTATTTTGCAATCGAATTAAATTAACAAAGAAACTATGTAATTGGCACAATCATGGTGTTTTCACTCTCCATTGTCTGCAACAGAATGCATATCCTAAATCCGTAGCTGTCGAGTCAACTGACAACTCCAGTAGGTCGAATAAAGCAGCTCAATATTCAGAAAGAAGACAAAGCAATAAGTCCGACAGGGTGCTTCTACTAAACGCTAATCCTAAACACCATAATTTTGAAAATACGTCTAATCATAAAATTCTAGATACAAACAGTTTGAACGGACATGAAGGCGTGATGTTAGCTGATGAATAGGAAATCCTTATTAATAAATAAAAATGGATATGTATCACTAATTATTAATACTTGGTCAAAATTCCCGACTGTCTATAACTTTTTATGGAGACGCTAAGAAATGTTTTACAACTGTTTACCCACACAAACATACACACTCTGTTTAAAGTGTTTAACAAAGGTAGACCAATATTTGTAAGTCCGAGGTCAAAATTTTGATGACAGCTCATACAATTTTGTTTATTATACTTGTTGATACTTGTTTTACGACTCATGATTGGACAAAGTTTAAAAAACAAGAGTTGTTCCTTTTATATATAAACCTCTGTTATGTTAATTTCGATTAATTTCCCTGAAGAAGTTCGGACCAGATTGCCGAACGCAGGAAACGTTGGAATTACTCATTTCAATCTCACTGAGACTTTACAAATACAATGTCTACTTCTCACTCGGCGCCCAAATATTTTAGAACTATTCTGTCAAATCTTGACGACAGCTCATTTGAATGCCAGTAATACCCTAAAATTGCCAAAGCAAAAGTAAAAAAAAGATTCACTGTTGGACAGTTTGATTGTGGAAGACTACATACGCTTGAGACTAAGACAAGTGTGCTGAGATACGACGTTGTCATTCCAAATAACACTATCTACTACATAATGTTACCATTGAAAGACCTACATGTTTTGCGTTTACACGCATGTAGTGTAAGAGACTTGGTAACGGAATGTTTATGTGGAATTTGATTCCTCCGTGTGGGGAAATCATATACACCATATATGCAAGTCATCATTTGCACGGATCTTCCGTGTTGTACTACTTCTGCCCCTCGTATTGTGTTTCTTCGTCTTCTGTTCCTGTCTCCTATATGTTGCCGCAACACCGGTTCATTTTCTCTCTTTGATGCCATATCTATCTCCCGGCTATTTGATATTTTTGTGTCGATGAACGTCTCTTTCTATACTACTGATAAATCTTGTCAGAAGCACATGCCACAGTAGCAACACATGGCGACGGTTGCCTTAAAAATCACTACCAGTTTTAGTCGGATATCACATTTAGGGGATAATACATTTAAACACAAAAAAGCAACTGGTATATTTGAAAAAGACAGTGATAAATAACTCGTAGCTTAATACTCACTGACGGTGGTTTACTGGTAAAATATTCGCCGATCAAGCAGGTGGTCTTAGGTTCGACCCTTGGCTGATTGTCCTTCTTAACCTCGCTTAGCGGGTAATATAAGCCCATTAGAGAGGGAAAGTTGGGTGTAAGGTTAGCAATCTCACCCCGCAAAAAAATATACACTACTGCTGCCGAAATTTCAAAGCTCAAGACTGAAGTCCTGTGTCCCACTCGGAACGCGAAGGATTAAGATTTCAAAAATCTAAGACTCATCAGCTTTTGATAAACGCAAGAAAATAGTGGAACGGTTATCTTTACACCTGTTTCAACATCCAAAATCTCTTATAGTGAAAGCTAATTCTGAGACCACCACGTCGTCATCACCATTAAACCAAGGAACATACCGATTATTAATGTAATTTGACAGTATTAATCAGCTTTCCAAACGAAATTTTAAAGACTTATTTTATAACTGTTGGTTATAAAATCGAAATTGTTCCATTTCGACGTGTTAAAATACCTGTTCACATAATAAGTGTTTACTAGTCAGACCTGAACCTGGGAAAAAAACATGAAGACTAGAGACCCTACCCCCAGAAAATCAGTTTCACCCCTACGGAAACTTCATAGAGCAGCTGATGTGTATTCCTTTGATGACGACATAGAATATTCGCACAGTGATTAAAACTTGCCAAAAGTGCTGCTCAGATTGCAAATGAAATAAGAAGATGTGGTGTAAAACTGCTAGGAATCTGTAAAGTATACCCTCCAAACTGTTAACTGGAGATTCAATAATCTACTCTGGTCACCCAGACGACAACCATGAAGACACTTATGGAGTGGCTACCACGATGTCACTGATAGCATTGAAAGCTCTCGTGTAGTGGGAAGCAAACTCAAACGACATGTTGTCGGTAGAAGCAGCGACAATAGGACTTCACGTGAATGTTGAGAAGGAAAAGGTAATGAAGATGTCTAACTAATGACAGCGAGCAGTAATCACCACCAACAGGAGAAACTTGAAAGAAGTCACATTTTTCACTTAATATCTCGGCAGCATCGTTTCAACTGCAGAGGTGACACCGACGAAGATGCCAAGGTCAGACAGGATGCAAAAAGCAAGATAGACATTCACTGTTGTGAAGTCACTGTGGGGATCTTTTGCACTCAGCATAAAGGAAAAGATTCGGGTGCCCCGTTCTTCTATAAGGTTGAAAGATTTGGCGTGTCACGAAAAGCATTTCGAACAGACTTCAAACCCTTATAAACAAACGCCTTCACTCCATACCAGAGGTTAGATGACCAAAAGAAAAGATTGTCAACAAGGAACTCTGACAACGAAGCTACCAAAAGCCCTTTACCCGACAAAAATATGCAGAAGGAGATGAAGACGGATTGGACACATGCTGAGGAAACTTGAGTGGTATCATGCGCCGGGGCCTCGAATAGAATCTGAATAGGAAGAGATAAGTTTGGTGTTGATCCAAGGGCGAAATGGAGACCGTATAACGAGGCGATGACATATTTTGAAGTTAAAAGTGTTTAAATTTAAGTGTTATTGCAATTGGTTTCAAAGTAAACGCGTATACAATAGTATGTTTGCTGAGAAATTATGCTGTTACAAAAATGCTGCCAAGCATGCTATAATAAAAGTACTTCTTCTGATTCGTTCAGTGTTAACGACGGACAATACATACGTAAAGACAGTTAACCGGTGAGATAATGAAAACATAATCAGTTGTCAAAAATAACTCTACTGAAGTATCAAATATTGTGTAAGAGCAAGAAGCAAGTGTACAATGAATGAATGAAGACTTACATCTGGTGGAACTTGGTCGTGGCTAGCTTGCGCCGAGTACAGTAACAGGTGAGTAATTTCTACGGAAACGAAGTAGAAAGACGAAGAAATGCGTCAGCGTAGATTAGAAATACTGTGATGACATTAAAGACATGTTACAATTACATAAACATTTTGGAATCTTATTCTCAACAGATACTACACGATTAATTTCCTGTAAATGAAGAGGAACACTTACTAGTAAACTGCCTGGTTGGAGTACTTGAGACAGATTGCCTTTGCTTTTTTTCATTCCTTTACGTTCCCAGTGGAACACAGGGTTTGAAGCTAGAGGCTTGAAGTTTCTGTAGTAGTGTTTATTTTCACAGGATGGAGTTGTTAACCTCATGCCCAACCCTTTGTCTTCACCAGTTTTATTTCTAGCTTAGCGAGGTAAAGGAGTGCGTCAGTGGCCGGGGATCGAACCCCGAACCATGTGCGTGGTCAGCGAGCGTCCTACGACGTGCCAACGACGCACAGTCCATTAACATGCACCTTTCTAAAACACTCGTGAACTAATTTTACCGAAATTTACTAAACTGTTTATACTGTATACAGTAAACTCCATACGATGGAGATGTGACTCAACGGTTTGGGCGCTCAACATTCAATGGATGGGTTCCTGGTTGAAGTGACACTGCAATTACTTCGGCTTGAGCAAATGAGTAGTATTGCAAGCTTTCACAACACATTTGGGTCATGATAAATCTCTCCCAGGTAAACAAGGTCTAGCAATAAAACACAAATGCTATTATACCATGATAATGTAAGAAACATTCCTGAAATATCCCAGAGCAAGTATTTGATTATGACATATATATATACATATATATATATATATATATATATATATATAGACAACTGCATGAATTACAAACTAGCATAAAATTGTACAAAAATAACCTCTAACCTCTTTGTTGTGGACGTAAGAATCGTTGTATGAAGGGATAAAAATTCAGTAAAATGAGTTTATTCAATCCAATAAGTCGACTAATCAGATCGAGAATAAGCAAACGAATCTCAAAACGATCTGAACAACGCTCCAGTTTTCGAAAAAGCTTTTCAGCAAACGTTTGTGGATCGTGTAACATATTTAAAGCATGGAAATTGGTTAATTCAGCACGCTTTTTCACTTTCCTTTCCTTTTCTTTGTTAACATTTTTAATGGATCGTTCAAGACGCTTTTGACGTCCTTTTGTCTTAGCACCGACACGATGACCCATGCGCAATTGTTTAATCTTGGTCTCTTCATCCTGTGAAGTGGATATGTAATTAAATCAACAGAAAGTCATGATGAGACAAAAACGCCCATTTACCTCTATGGAAATTTCAGAAGCCAAAATCACACATACAAGTCTGAATGATATTATTTATTTTATAGGGTACCATTTTATGGACCTTTTCAACTTCTAAAGACCCTTTTTATGACGATTCACACAAACTATGAAAAAGGGAAATTGAATAATTTAGCTTATCTAACAATACCATAAACTACACACTGTTGATTGAGATAAGTAATTGTATACCACTCATATGAACCAGCACTGCTTCCCAGTCAAATCGAAGTGGTTTAAACACTGGACGGACATTTCGCTTATTAGGGTACATACAAGCTCACCAACGATGTGAACTGCGAACTAATTAGATAATTGCAAATTTGATTTTTAGGATAAACTGTTTTCCAGTATTGATGTTAAAGACAAGCAATAGGAAGTCCCGCACCTAGGTTTCGTGTTTGTTGACGCTGCTAAGTAGGACGTATCTGCATCCTTAAAGCAACTTATGTCACCTATGAGACTCGAACGCGTCACCCAGTGCTACAGTCACAGGTGTTACGATTGACCTTCTCCAAGACTGTATTGGGTATTGTGGTTGGTCATTAAGTGGTAACCAAAGTTATGCATCTAGTTCTTGGGTTGGTGCGGACTGAACTATATCAGTCGTTTGCAATATGGTCATCATACCAGGTGACTCGCCATCGCGGTGCACACGACCAATGAAAGTATTTTCTAAAATATACGGTACGACGTAAGTAGTACTAATAAGCAATGCTAAGTAAGGAATGACAAGAAGATCCAAGTGTCCTAAGTTTGTTCGACTCACGTTTACTTCTAAAGCTTGACGGCCAGGCAAACGTTATCACAACACAGAAACAAGCCCCTACTGAATTACACTGTGCAACAGATAGTGTCAACTGACACATCCTCAATGTCCCCCAAAAAGTTACTCTTATGTGTAAGATGCTCGACGAGTTTGACTAACATTAGGAGTAATGTGGTATTTTTTAAAGTGTCTTATTTTAATATTTCCCTTTGACACATGAACATCCTTCAGAGCTGCTTTTGGAATTTCCTCAACGGAAAATTAGAAAGAAGCAGTGTAAATGAGGAGGCAGGAAGTTTTGTTTTTTCTCGTTTGGAGATACTCGATGCAACATCTTAGAGACATAAACTTTTCAATGTCCTGTCAAGTGAATTTAATCCTTCGGGAATTATAATAAGATAAGCATAAAAATAAACTCCTTTGTGGGATAATAAATAGATTGTTGGACTCAGTGAATACGTTACGAAGTCCAATGTCATGTAAAATATAGCAACTTAACAATTAATTATCCCATTATAAACATGTTAAGTTAGGAAGTGTTTCCAGTCATGAATTAATACGTATACTTATGATGGTCGCTTAATAGATGACAAAACAAAGACCTGAGAGGAATTTATACGTTCAGCTTATCTATGAAAACACTATACTTTCGTAGTTAAAGAGATAACTATCAGGGGGACGATAGTAATACTCGTTTCGAAGAATAATCGAATATATATACCATCTTTGGAAAAAATAGTAGCTGAGATGATGGATGCCTTATAAAAAAAGCCATCACATTTATGAAGCTGTATTTGAACTGATCGATGCAAAGACTAAATCCGAAAAATCTTACACAACAGCAAAGGCTGCTTAGATGTTTAGTGAACTAAAGCTCTCATAATAACCAACAAGCAAACATTCATTCTTGGAAAAGAAAACTCAAATATCAGTACGGAGCCACTTACAACATCTGATTCGGAATCACTGCTACTTTCCAATTCACCAATTGCCTTCATCTTCCCCAAGAAAAACTGGACAGCGGGGACGTATACCTACAAACGTTAAAGCGGAAAATGTGAAATTACTTTCTTCTTGTTGACCAAACATGAGTCTGCAATAGTATTGGCAGTTCGTGCATCATTCCACACATTCTTTTTAAACAGGCACAATAATATTAACACGGCTTCACGTGCTACAGTCGAGCTGTTATCCTTTATCATCTTTGAAAGGAATGTAAGGATGACCTGAAACTCCTGTCGAATAGAAAACATACAACTTACTGCGTTAACTTTAGTTTGCTTTTGGCTTTTGTTCATTCTTTTAATATCACTTACTAGAAAGTGACGTAAAGTTTTTCTGACTTGTTTATCATGACATCTGTGTAATTTGAAAGCAACATCAACCGCTTGTGCTGCCGGTATCAGATTTTTGGTTCGAAGGCGTATAAACGCTCTTAAGAAAGCCTGAATACAGATATAAATTAGTTTGTAAAAATTACCATACGCATGTCGGGATGCATACCAAATGCGCGTGACAGTAGTGTTTGAATTACACTGGAAGCAAACTCCCCAACATGATCTGGGTAATGCTTTACGACCTTTTAGGAAATAAGACTTTATTTAAGCGAACAACCTGAGACAAAAATAATAAAAGCTCTTCAAGACGGCTAATATGTTGAGAGGGAGCAGATGCAAAAGACTGTCTTAGTGTGGTATAGCTTTCCAGCTGGGCCTCAAACTACAAAAATATTAAAAATTTAAGCTTACATCTGATCGATATGACAAAGGATCCCGAGAAAGCTGGAAACTCAACTCTGATAACGGCATATGCTCCATCACGCTGAACTGTTACGTGAAGTGCAAAATTACCGCTGATACAAATATCCAATTCCCAATGCCCTTCCAAATGAATGAGGGTAGCGAAACTGGTTTTATATGACAGTTACATTGCTTGTGAGAGGCTGTGACATGTTTATGAACCACACAATAGATCTGAACCTTCTGTTAATTCATTTTACCATATATTTGGCGCAAATAACGTTCTTATACAATTAATGCCAGTTTTTCCAGATGACGATTTAGATTGACTGCTCAAAGACGATTCAGCCAACCCTATTTGTGGTATCTGTTCTATAAAGTTGATTTATCGGAGTTCTCCTCTTGATGTTTTAGGAGTTTTCTAGATTTCAAGAGGTTAGTCTATGACATCGACCGCCGTATCCTTACTCAAATCAAGAGAAGGAAGTATGTCAGTTTATTTCAATGGCGTGCAATCGTTAATAGTAAATAACGCTGTTTTTCATCATACAGCAGAAAATAACCGTGGAGCCTTATGACGTTAACTATAATAATCAACAAATACACTATGAAATTTAAGGAAATAATCGGAAAAGTACCTTAAGGACAGGAACAACGAAAATAACCATTTATTTACTTTTGATGGGTGACGTTTCAGTACCTAACCCATTTCTTCGTGTGAAAAACACGCGAAGACGCCCTTCTAGTATTAATTTTTTGGGTCAATCCCACTAGATTTAGGACTTATTTCTTGCTTCTACGAAACCTTGTGAGGTTGGTTTATGGTGTTACCCCACTCCGAGATTACTCCAACCAGCTTAAATGGTGACTAGTGCCAGAATACTGCGTATGCCCGTACCTGTGTGTTTGCCATAGTCCTCTTCTTGGTCAGATGCCTCACCTAAGAATACTGTTCTATCTGGTCCCACCCTTATGTCGGATTGTCAGCTGATCACGTGTTTTGTTCCACCATTTTCTTCGGGCCTAAAGCGACCACTAATGGAGGAGGTTTCCTGGGAGGCGATATGACACTCTTTTAAACCCAGCATAATTGAGTCTGTAGGTTGTCTAACCGGGGTTTAATACAGGGGGCATCCAATCACGGATTATCGAATATAGACTTATTAGCTAATGGCGAGCACACCAAACGTTGCAAGGTACTGCCTTCAGGTTCCCGTCATATCTTCTTTTGACGCTGAAGTGTTCCTATTATATGACACGAAGCTTCTCAGATCACTAGGATACTCCTGAGGCAAGACTTTCACTCGCCTAGCCCTTGCCATCTGGGGTGAACCGATACATGTTGCCACACGACTTCTTGATAAGGCTTAAGACGTCTTTCTTTGGCAACCAGTCTAGGAAAGGTTTCATCCAATCGGCAGGTACACACTATTTGTTATACACCCTTCCCAGTGTCCGCTGAGGGTCCTGGGTCCAATCTCAATGCCTCCATGCGCATTTCATCCCGCCACTCTGCTTAGCCTGTTTTCAGTAAGTATAAGGACTTCTAGACTCCTGATTTCTCCTGATCGTGTACGTCCACTGACAGTGCCATGTTTGCTCGTGGTATTTCTGGAGGAGTTGTACATAGTGGTAGATTCAAGAGTCATTCTAGTTCATTGGTGTGGCGATTCTTAGGTTTTCTTTACTATCTTTCATTGGTTTTATCTAATCAGATCTCTTGTGGGAAATGGACCTGGCTATTTGAAACGGTGTTTTGTAGTCTCACCGGCACCCTGTCCTGCTTTCGTTACCAGTGTGACGTAGAAAAGTTTGCTCTAGCACTTCTCTGCACACCCTTCTTCACCGCTTGGTTTATTTCACTCATTGTTGTGGTCGATAACTAGCAAAAAAGAAAATGAACTCTCACACTTCAGTGGAACAATCACACCAAAGAACCCTGTTGTTCCAAAGACAGTTATATTAGAAACGATGGCGTCGAAGACACAGAAAGAATTTTTGATTCAAGAAACGTATCGGGCAACCATATAACGAACCTTCAATTCCAAACAAAAAATGTACTGCGCGAAAAAATATGAACGACGGTTGGTGCGGAAGCGAATTCAAACAAGAGTTATTCATCAGTCTTATACCCAAAATAAAATTATCTGATTTACACAAAAATGAAAAACAGTGTACTAAGCATAGTATCAGCGTCTGACAAAACAGTTAGAAATACAGCACTCAGGTCCATCTTTAGATCTTACCCTCTTCTCAAGTTCATCTACTGTGGTAACGATTTCTCCACCCAACCCCCGTCTTCTGGTCTTCCATTACTTGATGTAAAGTTGTTCACTAGTGTTTGGAAAATGATTACTGCCAAATATAATCAAAGACTTGGTGAGCATACGAGAAAGATGGCTAAAAGATGAAGACTGTCGAACACTGTCAGTTTGAAAGATATGTGTTTCTGCGTTTCATTTATTCATCTTTTTTTCCTTGAAAAACAGTGAACTGAGAAGCAATCACTTTGCAATCAGTTTTATCAGTGTATTTTTAGAGGACTGCAGTTAAAATTTGCTCATTTCACCGAGAACAGTCGAATGGTTGGAACATGTGGCAGGTAATCGTTTCAGTACATAAGCAATCAACTCAACATTCAGTGTTGAAGCACGAAGCCAAATTTAAAACTTCAAGATGCCCAGTGACAAAGTATGAGGTAAAAAATCACCCTGTATCGTGTTTATAGGACAACAAGAACTACAACTTATCAGCAATGAACTGGCAAGCAGTGCGAAGTAGAATGTAGTCAAGAAAATTCCTAAAGCTTTTCGACCGTTAACCATACGTTCATAAATGTTTCCTTCAAAAAATAAGTAAAATATGGAAGTGAATGACTAAATGTATGCAACTTCTAAAGCCTAAAGATCAGCAAGACTTTGGAATCTCGACTAATAAGCAAGTTACGCTATATATAAAGTTAATTTCTTATTTTCCAACTCCCATAGTGCTTGTTATGCATAGAACAAAGAAAAATTAAAACACCAGGAGGATTGCTCGATTTAGGAGATAAATTTAGCGACGAGAATCGTTGTGCAATGATGTTTTCTCAGTCAGCTAGGGATCGTGCACAGGGGGCCAAACGTAACATGAGAATGTGACAAATGGTGCGGATGTCTGACCGCATGTTTTCAAGTTGACAAGTTGATTTAAATAGTTGAGAACAGCATCCTATATTGAATGAAGTAAGATGTAAACTAATAATTTGGGAAAATATTTATTACTGGAGCTCACTCATCCCCTAGTGAAGTCTCAAGGACCCTGAGACGAAACCAGCAAGAAGCAATAAGTTAATGGTGGCACCAGTGGTAAAGCTCTTACGATAGATGTGACGGCTGCAAGTCATCTCTCTACGCCAGTGTACTGTAAGTACATGGATCCGTTGATGTTCGTCCGTTGGCTCTTGTGCTCCGTCTGATTTTCATCCGGTTCCCGCCGCAACTGAAAACCTCATAAATCAGTCGATATGGTGAGTGCAAAATCAGAAGTACGTCTAATTTATGACGTGGGATACGGCAAAAACTTCCACACCGAGGTATGTGAACTTTTAAAAAGGTGTGAGTTTTGCACTGCCGTGTTTAATTTCAAATTTTGTTGTGCTATAAACCACAAAAGACTATACATAAACTTTAACTCGAATTACTCTTAATGAAGTTATTTTGTTTTACAAGTTTTCTGTTTATCTACTTTTAGAAAGTGTCTTCGTCACCTTCGGTTTTCCATTTATTCACAGTTTTGTCGAATTCAATCGCTCTCATTTTCCATCACCTAATTGTTGTTTCCTGGGTTATTTAATTACCAATTTGACTTGAGAAATACGGCTGTGGGAAACACCTTTTACGGAAGACTAATGCGTCACTTTCCTTTCGGGGGTGACAGGCAGTATGATAAATGTAGCCTCTGGTTTCACAATATATGCACCAACTTAACGCCTACAGCATAGACAAGTTGTTACAAACCACCTGCCTACTGGTTGTGCAATGACTGATGCAACCCAGCACAGCATCGTAGAAAAGGGACCATTTCTAAGCTTGGAAGGGCACTGAAGGTTTTGGACTACAAATGTACCTCTCCAACCAGTTTGTTGTGCTGCTATATTTTGACTTAACTGGCGTACACGTATATCTTCGTACTTCTTCGCGTTTATAGTTGTGTCCTAACGTTGCGATTACTCGACATTCACAACGTAATTCAAAAGTCACTTGCGAAGGAATACGATAGTGTATTATTGCAGCAATCAAAATTCAAAAATCGAGCGAGTACAAAAGTATCAATTGTTAACACGCAATCTTTAGAGTGATAAAGAAATCAAAGTCCAATTACATAGTGAAAGTATACTGCGATGATGAGTAATAAAACGGGTCACTACAATAGCCCCTCCGTAGAATGCAGGTAAATGAAGTTTACCTGTATTCGGAATGATA